CTATAAAGCAAAATACCAAAATTCGATTAAATTCAATGAATTTGAGTTTGACGGTTGCCATTCCGGTTACGATACCGATTGTACAGTTGAATGTAGTTGTTGTAGTGAATTTTGTTCAATGTTTTCTGCACATGTTTGTTGTTTTTGAGAATGTCAAAAATGAGTCGCGCAAATTCGGCCAGTTTATCGGCGGGCAAAGCGTTTTCCGAATGCGTGCACAGGTACATCAGTCGATCGATAATGTGTCCATTGAAAACGAATCGATGCTTATTCAGCGTTTGAAATACACCTAAAAATTCACTAACCCCGATGCCATCAACCAGATTCATGTTGAGCAGTGTGTCGACCGTGTCCTGTTTCACATTTTCGGCATTGTACAGAATGATTTCCATGGCCGTTGTGTATGTTTCGCCACATTTAATGAATGCCTTAATCAGTTGCTGGAACAGTTCGAATCTTTTGTCTTTATCACGTTCACGTTCACAAATGCAAATGGTGCTGATTAAACAGCCCGTCAGTTGGTGTTCGGCAAAAATGTCAACAAACACATGAAAATATGGATGCAACAATTTCGGACAGCGTGCAATAATGACTCGAATGAGTTTGGCCGTATTTTGAACGCCACATTCAATTAACCTCTGGCGAACGATATCGTGTGCGGGCAGCTTGTGCGAATTGTAGCAATTTTCACCCTCGACGCATTCGTCATGCAGAAAAAAGAGACAAATATTCGGGCAAATGGTTTCGATGCCTAGTTTGGTGGCGCGATTGGCATTTTCGACTATCACTGGTTTCCAACATGCTATTGGTTTTGGCTGAATAAATTCCGGCGTTTTCAATTTGAGAAGTTTATTTGACGGCGGTTCATTCACAGCATCAACATCGTCATTGTTGCTGTCGTCGTCGTCGTCGTCGTTGTTGGCCGCTTCATCATGTGAAGTTCCGAATGATAATTCATCATCTGACACATTTTCACAATTTCCGATTGCCGTCACACTGTCTTCCGTATTGTCATTAATGGAAATTTGTATTATTTGCGGAGAATCCAACATTTTTCCCTTTATCAAAACACAATTTTGAGTTTTGTTTTTCTTTCGAATTTGCTAAATTTTTTTTTTGTATACACTAACGAGATCACAACTGATTGAACACAACGAATCGACGAAAGTAAAATGAAGCGATTGAAAATGGCGCGGGCTACCGTATACAGATTTGTATGAGTTGTGTGCTACTTACAACAACACACACACATACAAACGAATCAAAGACGCTGTGTGATCGTCTGTCATCGAATACACCAACAGTGGATGTTACGGTCACAACCACAGTTTGACAAGTCAATTTCGGCGACAAAACAAAAAACACACACACTGCAAAAAAAGTTTTCATTTGCGTGGTGAACAGAAAACAAAATGTGTGTATCGAAATGCTTACCATGTTGACCGCAAATGGATTGTGAATTGGTGCACATGACATTTTTCGTAGCATTGAACTGGATCGCGGCAGAATAGTCTTTTGTATTTAACGCAATATTTTGCATTGTTTCATTGCAAGAGAAGAAAAAAGAATAAAAACATAGAAACATGAAATGAATTTTCTTGGATAAAAAAAACAGATCAATTTATGGTCAATGTTATTTCGGTTAGCCGCTCTCGTGTCATTTTATGAATGAAGTGTAGAAATAATTCTGTTTTATTTAGTCCGGTTAGATAAAATCGTGTTGAGAATGGGAGTTATTCTGGGCGCAAAATGAAGCATTAGCGCAGTTATTTAGTTGAACTTTGCTTCAAAAGTACATGGCTCTAAGTGCGTTCTTTTCCTTAATATTGTCCTATTTAACGTGATCCAAAGCGAAAAAATGCCATTTACAGTGTAAAAAAACACTTGTTCATAATTGTCATAATGTACTATATCTAACGGTGTCCGTACGATGCACAAGAATTCGATCTAAATAATGAAAAAAAAAACATTCTTGTCGCGCCATGTCTTGAATCGGCCAATCCGCCGACTTTATGGAACACGTTCTGCTTCTGAATGGTTATTCAAACCAAAAAAAAGAGACAAAGTCGTAATGTTAGCCGCTGTTGCACACACATAAAACATAGAAACAGTTGAAACAAAGCAATTGGGTCATTTTAATGAAAACACTGAACATCTTGTATCATCACGGACGATGGTGTGTTGTTGACAAGCAAAAAAAAGCCAATGTGTTTATTCAACACTATCAAGATTATACTCTTTTTGCCAGCCAAATGAAAAGAAAAGACACGATTCAATTGTAATAAAATTACAAGCGTTTGCGTCGTTAAAACTGAGATCGTTATTTTTTGGAAATTAAATGTTGTTGGTCGGTTGTTGTTGTTGTTATTATAGGTAGTATCGGGCGCGTCGTTCGACTTTCTTCCCCGTTTAATATGTATGGTGTTTTTGTTCGTTCACGAACGTGCAATGTATGAACAAATCTGAGTAATCCGTAAATCATGCTATGTCTTATTTACGTTCAAGTATTCATTATCGCATCGCACAATTTTTTTTCTTTCGATTTTTATTTTGCTTCTTTGATACTGTGTTCAGTTGAAAAAATGGCACGTTGTAGTTCGAATTTCTCAGCCCCGGTGTACAGAAAGAAGATAAAGTTTTGTATACATGGGTTGTGCTACATTTCAATTGCTTTACATTCCAAACGGATCGGATTTTTCCTCTTGTCTACATGCATGCATATATTTTATTCCACAATGGAAATAAATCAGCCAAGTGGCTTATTTATTATTGGCGGAAATATTGAGCCCTATTTTGTTTGTATATCCAACATTGAAAAGAGAAAGAGAGAGAGAGAGAGAGCGAGTGAAAGAGCGAACAGAAAAAAATGAAGCAAATAAATAAGTCATAAAGCCAATGTAAACAATACACACAATGTTCCCGGGTCGCAATGAATTCAATTACAATGCGATGTTAAAAAAAAATTCGTTTGAAATGAGAGCACTGAATTTGACTCATAACAATGGCAAAGAAAGCGCGAATCACATCGAATGATGGATATGTGTCGATTTGTTATTTCCCACAGGCACAACTCTGTTCCGCTCTCTCTCTCTATGTCGTTCGAACGTTGCATACCGAGGCAATGATTTGCCTTTTTCTGCCGGCGGTTATGCAATCAACAGATTCTAAAAATTCGCATATAATTGCGTTCCGTTCCGCAGAAATGGAGTCGAACGCTGCAGAGAAGAGAAAAAGAAGCAATTCGAATAGCGGAAGTATCGAGATGAAAATAGCAAATGACTCAACATCGTTACAATGCGATAGATTTATTTATTTTGCCATTATTTTGTGTTTGTTTCCTGCGAGACGCGCAATCCCAACATCATTTTTTTTTCTTCTCTACCTCATCTCGTTTCACTCGTGTCTATTAGTTGTAAAATATTGCAATTTTCTCCGGCAAATGTCTTTGCGGTTTGGTTTTTCGTTTTTCTTCATTTCATTCCATTCTGCAGCGAACAGGATGGCATTCGAATAATTGAAGAATCGCTCGACGCAGCGCACCGACGACTAATTTACGTCCGATGTCTCGAAGAGCTGCTTGAAACAAAGCGTTCAATCTCAAAATATACAACCGAACTACGTCTTTATTTATTGCCTTTCAATTTCTCCACATATATGCGAACACAAATATTCGCTACATAAACAGAAGAAGAAATGCGCGGCATGTCAAATAAGTACAAGCACTTGTGGAATAGCAAATGAAACACAAACATACGCAAGAAAATTAGAATGCCAGTTTTCTGTACAAGCGAGAGAAATAAAAAATAACAACAACAAACACCAACTGAGAAACTATTTTTTTTTTTCGAGAAATTTCTATTTTTCTTCATTTCAATGCTGGAATGTTGAGTACAAACACTTGTTTGCTGGTTTCATTCAATTATCCAGCATACAGATACACCGACTCGTCAACGTGATAAGCATCGATCCAGTTCCATCATCGATTTGAAGTTCAATTAAAATTGAAATTAATCGCTTATCCATCATAATGAATGTCAGACGAATGCATACGGGCTACCGTTGTGTGCACCCAGAAAGCGAACAAGTGTCTCTTTTGTCATTATTATTGAATGCATAATTAACTTCGTTGAGCCACACTAGCTGTCTACTGAAATCAATTTCAAGCACTGGACTTCGGTTCCATTTTCTTCGGTGCATAATAAATAAGACTACTATGTAGAAAATTATCACGAATACCCATAAATTACGAGGAAAATTTATCATGCCATTTTGAACGACATGTTTGCCATTCAAATGTGCATGACTGTAGAGCCAAGTTTATGCATGGACATTGAAAGTAACGATGCCATCATCAGCTTTTGCATATGCTTTTCAAGATTGCCACATTTATGTTTTTTCAGCAAATCACTCCCATCATGCTGAAAAAAGCGTTTAAGCCACAAAAACAACATTTCAAGTGCCAATAAACTCTGATGTATGGCTAAATCCACTGTCGTACTCGTCCAATAGAGAATTGTCAATGAGACTATTTGAGGAGTCATTGAGTGCATGTATAGGAAGATTGTGAAAGAAAAAATTGATTATAATAATTATTAGCTATTAATTTTTGACCAGTAAATGGACATGGCTTGTAACACAAGCAGAGACGATGGTAAAGTCCAAAGGTAGTTTATATTTATTGCATAAAATCATTTTGCAACATGCAAGAACCGAAGACGTTTAACAAACAAATGATTTCACCTTCTGATTGGTTTTCAATTGCATTGTATTGTTTAGATTCGATTTTAAACAGTATTGAAAATAGAACAGCAAGTTTCACACAACATAACAGTAGCAGTGATAACGATTTGCCGTTTCAAAGAAATAACAAGCCCATTTTCTGCATCAAATCAGTTATATTTCGTATTTTGTTACCAAAAATGTTTATAACTTCATGTGTTCCGTTTATTTTGATACGAAAATCTGCCTTTTGTTTTGTTCATACTTTCCATATTCTCAAGTTTCAGATGGTTCGAGCTCTATATAATGCTTGTCCAATGGATTACCTATATCAGAGTTCTTGTTCAGCGCCAGCGAATCCACTTCCATAGTAGTAAAATGTAAGTGCTGCATGGCAATCATTTTTTTTTTGCATTTTTCTCTTCATCGATTTTCACTTTGAAATTGGATTTTTTTTTTACGAAAACATGTGTTGTCGTAGGTCGTCAATGGCGAATGGCACTTCAAAGGAAAAATTAGCATTTTGCAAATGTAAGCGGTCGGCTTGTGTTCGAAACTACTGCCAGTGTTATGATCAAAAGAGAGTTTGCGGTCCAGCTTGTCGCTGTTTCAGTAAGTCTTTACCTTTTGTCTTTCCTTGTTCAAGTTTTTTTCTCTTCCATTTTCTCCTTCTTTTTTTGTTCATTTGTTCATGTTTTATTTTCGGATGGCAATGCATTCACGATCTATTCACATGTTTCAATTTTTTTTTCAGATTGCCAAAATCGATTTTCAACGAGTACGACCAATGAAGAAATGGCAAAGTCAAATAACAGTAAATACAATTCGTCGCAAATGGATCAGAGTAGTTCGAGTAATGGGAGAGGCAATCGTAAGCTCTTTGAAAACGATGCATATGAGTCATTTGCTCAAAGCCTCTTTTCAACGGCAAAATCGTGTCACCAGGCGGGTAGCAGTACGCAAGCAACGCAACGCAAACTGTTAGAAACATTTCATGCCGGATTATCCCGTCTCAATCAAGACATCGATAAGAAGTTGAATCAAAAGTAGCGAGTTTGAATGTGAAAGTATTGGGAGTATTTCGGTGTGAGCGTCTGTCCTTGATAAGTGAAACGGTTTACAATAAAAAAAGTATTCTTAAGTTTGGTTTTTAAAAAAATGAATTCCTGGCATTTTAGTCGCTGAATTAAAAATGCCAGTCGCAGAATATTTGAATGGTTTTAAAGTAGCCGGCGACACCAATACCAAATAGTGCGTCGATTTTTCTGCGATAAACCATGTCGCAAAAGTCGAAATTATATAAATTCTTTGATATATCGGTGCAGCCATCATTAAACCGCAGCAACTACACAAGTGATTACACTCTGCATTGCGCTCAACATCATCGAGACGTTAATTTACGACACATTTTTTTTTTTTGCATTTATATTGCATAACCTTGAGCTGAACCAGTTTTGCGTTGAATATAATGACGAATTACAATCATATTTTTTGTTTAAGCGAAACAAATTACCGGTTGACTATTTGCTGTCATTCGACATGCGACGTTGTTCATATCATCGGGGAAAAAATTGAACGGCAATTAAATGAATAAGTACAGAATGTCTAAATTGTTTTTCTTTTGCTTCGTAGAATAGTTCTAGGGTCTCTTGTTATTTTATTTAAGCGAATCAAATGGTTTTAATTTCAATTTATTAACTTTAGCTTTTACATGATGATAATGGTTTTGTATCGGTTTATGATGAAGACGATTTCACATTGTGCGAATTTTTAATCAGACAATAAAATGGTATTTTGTAATTGTAATTTTGGCGAATTAAAATTCAATTAGAAAAAGTTGAAATAGAGAAAAAAATATGCGGAATAAATTATCGGAAATTATCTTTTACTCAATCGAGCCGATGTATCTACGAAGCAAAGCGTTAAACGATCATTGCGCTGATCAAAGCTTAACCGTGATTTGGCTGCAGACGAAGAAAAAAAAAAATCAGCCAAGCATTTGATACGTGAGCAGCCCGCAGCAACACCACATCGCGCCAATCAATTTGCATTTTAAATTTTCAAACAAATTACACTTTTTTTCTCTCTCTCTTCATTTTTGCCAATTTCATTCGGCAAAACCGTTCGATTTTGCAATGAAAACGAGAGCAAGAGAAATGCTACTTGAACAAACAAAAGAGAAGTGAAAACCCATTGAAGTGTGAGAAGCGCACAAACAAACACTTCATCAATAAGACGCAATATGGTAAGGCAACAACGTATTGGTTAATCACCAAACGTAAAATGAAGATGTTTTTAATGATTTGGGCGCGCGCGCGCGTACACGTTTACACATCGGCAACATTGGTTTTTTTTATTTATTTTCTTCCATTTACTCGTTTGCTTCTCATGTTGTAAAACATTCGATTTCACCTGCTCATTTTTGGTTCGGTATTTTAAAATGAGATTCGATCAAAAGATCCATCGGATTTTTTACTCTTGGGAAACTGTTCAGAAAATTTGGTTTCAGACGAAAAAACGTTAGATCTTTCCAATGTGAACGCTTGAGCGTTGAACGTGAGAGAATTGAAAACACATTTTAAAATATTGGACCCATTTTTCATTTGCATTACTTCTGTCTTTGATGTTTAATTGTAGATTATTCGGTGGTAACGACTCAACGAGCGGCGAAAGTGAAAGAAGCTGCATAATTTGCGGTCGAAAATTTCAGATCATCTGTTTTTGTTTTCTCCTAAATCATGACAAACATTAACAACGAAATTATGCGTGTTGTCACGCTATTCGCTGTCAATCCATTCCGTTAGCCATTCAAAATTGTCATCACACAATTATTCAACCAAAATAAAATGTTTCGCTACCAATCGAACTGAGCAATCTCTCACGTGTTTCAGTTAATCCGACAGTTGTTTTGGTTTGATGGTTGTCACTTCACTAAACGTTCATTGAACCGTGCGACAATTTGTTGTTTCTAAAAAAAAGCCAGCTACCACTTTGGAATTGAACGAGGAGAAAATTGCTATGGCCAATTGACAATTGAACGGCCATAAAAAAAATCAACGAAAATCAGTTCATAAAAATAGCGATTATAATTGCTCACTGCCCATAAAATGGCACTCCATTTGCGATTGAACAAATCTATCCAATAAAGGCAAGCCCGCAATGAAATTGAAGGAAAAAATAACGACGACGACGATAACAACAACCATCGATTACATATGCACGTCAACGTACAGAACGTAGCAGAATTAACGGCATACATTCATCGATTGCTGCTTTTTTTATATTTCCTAAGTAGGTTTTTGTCGATTTAATTCGACTCCGCGTACCGTGTGTGTGGACAGCTTTGATACTGCGGATAATTTGCCATCGATGTGATTACATTCGTCGATTTACTTATGCACGTATAATTTTTTTTTCGTCAGTGCAGCTGAATGCAAAAGTGGCCGTTAGACATGTGGTAATTCTGCAGCGTGCAATTGCTTCGATTGGAATAGCGGTATCACGTCCATCACTCTCAGTGCATTTGAATGATGGATTTGCTTTCTTTCACCGTAATCAATTTTCAGAACAACGGCTCTTTTTTTCTCTCTCTCACTATCGCGCGCCGTAGATCCAGCCATAATTATGATGTAACGCACATCCATTTTGGGTAATCCGCTTCATTCTTATATAATTTGCCAAAGTTTACAGAGAAAAAAAACACGCTCGTTGGGCCTTCCATAAGCGAGAAAAAACTACAATAATACCTATGTGGATTTAAACAGTTGAAGATGCCACGCTGCAATTCATATGTATCAGATCTAAAATAAGCGCCACAATTCAACACTGTTTTATAAGGCTTTGTTCATGAAATGAATAAATCCATTTGCAGCGAAAACCGAAAAAAATGAACTCAGCAGCAGATATAACGGATTATTTGATGCATTTTTTCCAAATAGAATCGGTAACATTTGGTAACAGGTTGAAGTTAAATATCTAAAAATTGCATCCGCTATGGCAAAACTCCGACACTTTCTATCGTTTCTTTTTTGCCCTCTTTTTACACCACGCCACGCAACCATTGATGATTTAATTCAACAAATGATTTAGTTTTTGCTTCTTCTTCTTCTTCTTCTGAAATAAGCTCACTTTTCATGCCATTGCTTGCATATTTGTAAGACCGCATTCCATGTTTTTTCATCTTCTTTTTCTTCATCATCATCAGCATCACTCGACATGCGAATGAAGCGAGAAGATAAGACGAACAAAAAACATTGCTAATTAAAAAGAGATAAAGGGAAAGGTATTAGAAATGCACCTTGAGAGTATGAACGGTAGCCGTCAAAGTCTCGTGATATGTGATGCTTGAATGAATTCCGAAACCCCATGACAAGAAGAAGACAAAGCTCTAACACTTGCAAGTCATGAGAGATGAAACTAATATGTAAAAACACACATGTATAGTATCTTTTAACAATGGTTCAAACGACACGGCAAACGGTTGTTGTTTTTTTTTTTGGTTCAAACATAAGCTCATTATAGACAAATGAATAGAGAATGAAGAAAAAAATATCGTCCCATTGTTTATACCAACAACAATAGACAACTGCGTACATACACAAACACTTTGTGATTTTGAATCGTTTGTTTGACAAAATTTCTGTTCGTTGCCATTTCTCGAACGCATTCGTTGCGCTTTAGCTGCCCGCGGACACGCTGATTGTGTGCTGATTTTGGTGTTCGAAGCCAATGAACGCTGTTTCGTTTTGGTTGCAAATGAAATTACACAGCCACGAGACACATTGGACAAAGTCTTCTGGTTTTGGTTTGCGGTGGCTGGAGAACTTTTCGTTTTAAATTGTGTTTGGGGCAATTTTTCTTGTTGTAAACGTATCATTCACAATTGGTAAAACTACATTTTCGACAGCAAGTACACGCGATCAGCTTCAAGCCGCTTCGACCAATTCGACAATTCAAACGATTCATTCCGTTGTAATGACAATGAAAATCTTTTGCAAATTGTGCAAAAAGCCTTTGTTGTTAATGAATTTGTAAACTTTAGTTTTTTTTATACACTAATTACACTCAAGAAGTAAATATTTTTGTGTCGTGCCAAGTGCACACCGGTCATGGAATTCGTCGTAACAACAAATATAGAATCAGTATGTGCTTCGTTTTTTTTTTTGTTCAGTAAATATTTTGGTTTTTGTTTATTTTTCTCACTTTCAATCGTTGGCATTTAGAGCCAAGCTTCAACGAAATTAGTTGAAAGTCACGCGTGTTTTGACGCATTATGCAATTTTTGGGGCCTCGAGCGATTTTCTCAATTTGATAATCTTAACTATTTTCGTCTCTAGTTCGCCTAATCTGTGATCAAAGGCTATGTTCAAGCAGCAGAAGAGAATAAAACGGAATTAAAATGATGATGTATATTAGTCGATAAGAGACCATGAAAGAGAAACAAGAGATATAACGTGACGTCTTTTTTGTGAAACTGGTTTTAGTGTAGAATTCGGTTCTCACCAAAAGTGGTTCGATCGTTTGACGAAAATTAAAAGTCAAATTAGAAAATGAAAGCGTTAGCTCAGCTCAACTTAGTATAGCTATAAAAAAAAATTGAAAATGAAGTAAAAAAAACGTTTCCGTTGAAGAACTCACCCAGGAATTATCTTTAAATTGCGCCATTTTTTTGTGGTTTGCCGTTGAATGATTGATGTCGGAGAAATAAAAAGCAGCGATACAGCCGAGAAGTTTCACCGACGCCAAAAGAAATAGGTGCGATAAACAGCTATTAATTGCTATTTATTATCGGTGCAGACGGTTTTTGTGTCACAGTTTGTGTCGTTTTCCGTTGTGCTCCGTTTCTTTTCTCTCACACTCACTTTATTTACTTGTTATAATTCTGTCGTGTTCCGACGTTTTCACATCGAATGTATCAAATGAATGTATGAAATTACTGATGCATGATACATGTACACACACTATTTAGCTGCGGAACGACTGACAAAATGTCATCTCATATTTAATTCAAATTCGAATGGCGTCAACAGTTTGCCACAACACTCAGACACATATATACACTCGCGATAGAGAAAAAATGGAAATTTGCTATTGATTCACTTGAATATGGAATAAAATCCAAAAAAGCTGTCTAACACGCATGTCAATTGCAAACGTAGCATTTTCTTGTTGATAGCCAGCGACTTCACGATTTATTTTCGATGATGCTACAAAAAAACCAGTCAATGTCAGTCAATTGACGAACAAATCCCAACTGGACGGATTGAGGCTATGAAATCTGATGTCAACTGATTGTGTTACAATGGGGAAAAATTTGGTCAATTTCAGCACTTTAATTAATTTCACTTGATTAACATTTGACATACGTCGGTCGTTGCTATGTAATGGGTCCGATGCTTGGAGGCTTCTGTTTATTTCATTTGATTTATTGTCCTAGCAAGTGCGCGCACCGATGTGCAATTAAATGTGCGGTTGGGCGTGAGTCAGTTTGCTTGAGATGTGTGACTCAATGATTGTTTCAAAGATTTGCGGGAATTTGTTTTTTTTCTCTCTCGCCGTAGTTATCATTCGAAATGATCTGCTGTAAGTTACAGTCTATAACTCTTTGAACGTCCAATAACGTTAGAATATAAAAATACCCACATGAAACCGATACACATGCAATTCGTGCGCTTAAATGGAGAAAATATGAACCGTTAAAAAAACAAAGCGTTCGATATTTGTGTCTCTTTCGTTGAATTGTCAATAAAACGAAATGTTTCAATTAGTCGACACCCAAAATTCGAGCATCACGCGTTCTTCAAAGCTTGACAACGAACACAGTGGACGACGAAATTTAATCTATTTATCGCAATATGATCGAATTTAATTCATAGACATGATCGCAAGCACACTCTCGATCGGAATTCGGTTTTTTTTGTACACGTTTGTTTCGCACAACTGAGAACTAATTGCACAAATTGTCTCTGTGTGTTTTTTTATTATTATTATGATTGTTACTTTCTATATTTTGAATTGACACCGAATGGAAAGCACTAAAGCCGTTCTTTTTAGAATGCCATTTATTGACTCGGTGCTCGGTGATGTTGTTTTGTTGTCAGTTTTCAGTGTTTTATTTTTGTTTCTCTTTATTTCACTTCGATTGTCATTAGCCGTATAGTTTGCTTATGGGTACAGTGCGCGAATACGATCTGCTGCACACGGCATGATTCCGTATTCATTGCCAATTGAAAACTGAAAAAACCTATTCACTGCGCACACAGCTATACCGATCTCTCTCGTTCCTCTCCAGCCGTTTGTGGCCGCGTTTTCGGTGAACATTCGATATTCTTTTTTGCACACCGTTTCACACACACACATGCACACACTACATACTGTGTATATTGACGCGCACACTGGCGATAGCGTACACATAAGCATTTACACGCTTGAAACTGTATTAAATGGGGGGCTTTCTCAGTGGCTTTTGTACGTGAGCCGCGCAAATTTACTCGTGTGTGTTTTGTGTGAAGAGAAAAAAAATCAACTCGATACTGTATAATAGTTTGATTGAATCCAACGCATCTCTACCACCTACTAGAGACCAGTACATGTACGGTATTTAGCGTGACGTCACATGATTATCGAAAGAAACAGATACGATCATGCATTGTTTCGAAGCTCGCTGTTTATTTTTCGGTATATTTTTGGAATAACTTTTCCGTCCTTCTCAAATGACAAATAAACACCTGTTGCGACGCATGTGATGCTTGGCTGCGATTTCTGAATAGATCTAAATTGTGAGTAGTGTGGAATGGGTTTTTAAATTGAAAATGTGCCTGTAAACTATTGCACGACTCAGATGGGTTTCATGTGAAGGCATATCTGAGTTTATTGCACTGGTAAATGATATTTTCTCTCAATGCATAACAATAACTGTTGACGATCATACAAATGGCATTGATGAAACCAAAAACCAAACGCTAAAACTTGATATCCACATCCACTCACACACACCTTCGTACATTAAAATATTGTTTCTATTGGCGTTCGCAGTCCGGTATACTATCAACTGGGTAAATCGGTACATTACGCCACAAGCGATCATTACGAATTTAGAGCACAGCGCGCATTAGAACAAGTTCTGGTTTTCGAAACAAAATTGCAAAATTACGTGTAATTTCTTGTTCTACGCAAAATGAGAAAACAACAACAACTACAATAACAGGCAGTAGCCGTACAAAACGACTGATCGGCGTGCGTTTTACAAACACCATTTGGCGTGTACTTTCTTCATGCGCTGTGCGTTTGTCTGTGAATATTATTGTCGGTGTTGAACAGAGGTGTAATTATATAAATGAGCAGGCAAACTGTAATTTTCAAGTACGATCGCCTTATCGCCACCGATTTATTGAGCCCAGACCACCCGACCAGATCATCAGCTTATTTTAGCCGCACATCTGCCTACAATGTAAACAAAACTCTCACAAGCACACAAAAAACCCATTACAAAACTCTTTTCCGATGCGTATTAAATAATTTATCGAACACAGACCGACACTTCCGTTCGCCAAAATAAATCCCGAAAGGAGCTTACTTCAACATTTAACAATTCACAAAATGTCACACCACTGGATTATTAAATGTATTTACTTGATAATGTAATTTGCACACAATTTATTATTATGGATGCATTCAACGGATGTTAAGTAAAACGTGCAACAGACATACACAACAAATTCTCTCTCGTCTCGGTCTCATCTGCGCTTCTGTACTCCACTATACGCGACATGCAAATGCCAACTGAACACGACCATGAAGCGAATGAAGAGAAAAGACGAGGAAAATGGTTTACATTTGGAAAACTAACTGTTTGCAGACGTTTTCAGAGGCATTCGCTCGTATTGGAGTGAGCAATATCGATAGGGACTTATTGCATTGAGTCATACCAACCCATACACTGTGTCAGTTTGACGAATTTCTCTAATTGCTTCCTAATCCATACCACCGAAAATTTTATTCTGTTTTTTTTATAGATCCGGATGATTACAATACTTTTACATCCAATGTGTTGTGAATAGATAAGTAAAATCACCGATTCTATCTATGGAGTTGCCTTACCATATAAACGTTCGATTTGTTTACCAAAAACACAAAACATTTGTTCATTTGGTTACGCATCGCACCTTGCGACCAGACTTGATTTTCATGTTCGAATGTAAATGTGTTCGAGTGTCGTCCACTTGTTCCATGTGACCAAACGTCTTTCTCGGACCGAAATAATGTAATAATTTTATGTTTTATTTGATATTGCAGATGCCATCGTTGGATTTAAATATGTTGATTCCACATAAAATAACGCAATCGATTCCAAACTGCATTTCAATACGCATTTGCCGAAACTGTTATTTCAATTTCTCCTCAATTTGCATTCCCCTATTCGCCTTATTCACCTAAAACTTGCCAATTTATTTGAATTTTTTCCATAACACTTCAACGACAAAGATTGCATCTTCAGTATTTTCTTTCGTTTAATTTATGGACCAGCTTCGATTGAATCAAATTGTGCATTTAATGAGGGACCAAGATTCGAAACAAAATGTCGAAAATTACGTACATTTCACATTTATCCATCTTTCGATTTGAATATGCGCTAATTGCAATGGCCCAAATTCAGAAATCGTTAGGCACGCACAACAGCTTACTATACATGCACGACTCACAGTCGTCGACTAGAATTCTTTCGTTAATTGTACGGCAAAATGTTGTGTACTGATCGGTATGGTTGGTAGTTGATTTGTTGCTTGTGAGTTTTTGTAGAAAATGTGAGAAGACAAGAGAATTTACGGTTTGATAAATGGAGAAAAATTGCTCATTAAAGCAAATGCTTGACATTGAAAACAACGACGACGACGACGATGGTTTCACATTGCGAATAAGGCGAAAAGAAACCAAACAGCATCGAATTGATTCAGTGAATGAAAGGCAAGATTTCTTTGCAATTCGCGTTCAGTGGCTCAATGGCGCGATGTAAACATAAGCGAACTCATACCACTACCATCACACTCTCGCACATGGTATCGCGTTTTGTTTTGTTTTTGCTTTGAATTCCCCTCAAACTCACCTGCTTCTCCAACTAGCGTAGTTTACGTAGCGAACTTATGTCGAGTATTGAATTGCATGTTGGCATCAAAACTATTTCGAACTATTACATTGTTACAGAGAGGAAATCCCAACAATTATCCTATCGCTTTGTATTGTTTTGGGATGAATCGTTTTAATTAACGCACATTGTTTACGTTTTGATGAGTCACATATGCATTTAAATTGATTTTTTTTATTTCGAAGAACATATGAAAAAAAAAGATTTCAAACTGAAAATGTGGTTGTTTTGATGTCAAAGTGCATTTGTTTAACCCATTAACTGAGAGCCATATTTGAAGATTTTTTTCAGACAGGGTTTTCAAGTTAAACATTTTATTAAATTGAATGTTAATAGGCAAAATTTAATTTAAAAAAAACTTTTTCTTATCAAATATGAACCCGTGAGCATAAAAACGAATAACAAAAAAAATCGCCGATCAAAACGTAACATAGATTTGTCGGCGTAACATACCAATGTACAATTTGTTCCGAATTGAACGAGTAACAAATAGGTGTTTCGCTTTGTTCGGCGACGTTTTTATAAGTCGTTTTTATGCGCACGGGTCCATATGTTTTCATGGAAAGTTATGAGCTCAATTCGAAAAATTGACTGGGCAATCAATGGGTTAACGTTCAGTCGATTGTTTAACAATTGTGTTTCCATTTCCAAAAAACATTTAAATATATCGGTCATTTCCCATAAGGATACAATTCAACACTCACACATCAGTATTTCTATTGCAATTGTGGGGGAGTAGTCGAAGCATAACGCTATCAAATAATATGGACAGGTGTCCACTTTGACCGGTTTAAATAGAATGTAACAATGTTTATCATTTTTCTACCCCTTAAATTTTACATGAGCGTAATGTGTTACAACTAGTAAAAACAGTAGGCATGGAGAATTCAAGCGAGATGGTTGTATGAAAAGTAGCGTCTGAAGTATTGTTTGAATTCAAAATCAATACGAAATTTCAAATAGGACCAAAAATTAGTGAAAACTTCCATAAAATAAATTAAATTTATGTTTTTTAATTGAATGGTTTGATTATAAACAAAAGATATATCTAAAATAAAAAAAATAGTGCCATACTAAATAAAATGACTCTCATAGACATTGACTCACTTCAAGCGACAAACTTTGAGTTTGACATCGAAGCAAATCGGAGGCGTCGTGCTGAGCTAGCTCACGATGTAACCGAATTGATCAGTATTTCGAAATTTTTCCTGCAACATTATTCATCGGATTCAGTGGATCAATTGCCTCCGTTGCCGCGAAAAATCAAGAATCCGACAGACACAAAGCGTGGGAAGAACGAGTCGAACGTGAATAAAGCGCGTGGAAGGAGTGTCGGTCGCATTGCTCAAACAAAACGTAGTCCCGTTTCCATCGCTACGCCGACACATGTAAAACGTAAACAAACGCGAATTAATAATGGAAGAGTAAACCAAACGCGTGGGAATGACGATGATGTTCCGCCGTTGTTTGATAAAATCAAATTGCATGAATACTGTGTTGACATTGTTGATCGGTTTTTTCATGGGCCGCCTCCGAATGAAAGTGAAATCAGTGAATCACCAAAAAATGCACCACATTCAACAACCATAAAAAAGAGCCAATCGACTGAGAAATCCGTACAAACAACAGCAACAGCAACAGCAAATAACACGAATGAAATAATACTTTCGAAACCAAGGAAAAACTCAAAGTATGCCTCGGTACCATCGCGTTACATGAATCAAACGCCACCAAAATCGATAAATGAAAGTTTGGCAAGCAAAAATAACTTGCAACATCGACTAGTGTCAGCGAAATCACGTGAAATTTTGGAAGAAGTCGCCAGGAAAGGGACGGAAATAAAACGACATTCGTGCTTGATTCATAAAAGGGAAAAGAGCATTTCATATCATGAACATTGCCCGGCACAACAAGACAGGAATCGATCTCAAATCCGATTTCGTGATATTCATCCAACCATTGAACTCGTTCCGTCGAATGCGATATTTCCAAAAAGGATTCTGAAACAAACGAGCGGTGAATCGTTGGCGCCTTCTTCTGCTGAGCAAAAAACTGACGAAGAACAGAAAGCTGAAGGTCAAAGCGCAAATGTATCTCCGTTGAAGAGCAATCTCAGCACAGAAAGTGTGATTGAAGTTAAAAATTTCACTGAAAATGAATTTGATCACAGTCAATTACACGATTCTCAACCAAAAGGAGAGTTGCAACTGCAACAACTGCCGATGCTATCGATAAAGCCACAAGCGAAATGTGAAATAGAAAATATTTACGAGATAGAAATAAAACCGGGCGAAGCAAAACCAGGAGTATTCTTATCAAAGGAGAAAAATAAAGTCATCCAATTTGTATATGAACCCTTGGAACATGCACAAGGCGCAGAACAAAATGAAGTCCAACCAAACACTTCAAATCAATACCAAAATAAGAACAACAAATACATTACACCCTTCGTTGATGAAAAACGTGTTGCAGAGAAATCTTCCGGCGAGTATGAAGAAATGCCTCTAGAGAATGTCACAACCGACGATACTCAAGAAACAAGCCACTTATCCCTGAATTTATCAACCTCTTCGCATTTGACTGATGATGAAAAATTTCAATCCGATAAAAAATTGATCAACAGAGCTTCAACGGAGTTCAAATATGTACCGAAAACGCAAGCGAAAAGTGTGATTGATAAAATTTTTGAAGTCGAAGGAATTGCTGAATCAAGTGAGACACCGATATTGATTCAAGAGGAGTCAAAATCTAGTCCAGTTGAAAAACAGCCCAAAGTTCTCGAAAATTTTGATGATTTGCGAGAAATTTTGCGGAAGATTCGAAATGATAAAACTACATTGGATGTGGCGTTGGATACAATCGTGCCACCCGATTTGATGTCACCTGCTCGAATAATGACGGATCGAGAAGTACAATGTGATGATATCTCTAAAATGGACACTCCAAAAAGTGTGGGCACACAAAAATCAACAACAAAATATTCAGCTGGGAAAACTGGATCCGATATGCATTCACCACATTATATCGATTCCAGCCTAATTGAATCACCAAAGTTCAACAAGACAATAGAGAGCATTCGGTCATCAGCACGGAAGTTAGATTTCAGCATCAATGACAGTGAATATCGTTCAGCGACACGCCAACAAATTGAAAGAGCCGCAAAAAAATTCCTTAAATCCATACTGAAGAATGCCGACGCAAATATGCCGTTAAGTGCATCAGAACGGGAAGACAGCTCTCACATTCAGCTGAAAGTGGACAAACAAAAGTATCACATTGTTGACGATCAAATTATTCAGTCAAATTTTAATGTAAAATCCAATCATGGCGAATGTACTTCATCATCTTCTAGCGATACCACCTCATTGCATTTACGGCTACCAAATGCCCGAATATTACCAAATCACTCTAGAATGAAATGCAACAATTGGATTGATCGCACCGATTCTGATTTCACATCCAATTCAATCGATAATTTTATGAATAATTTAAGATTGAACGAGAAAATTCCACAACAACTAAATCTGATGGCGAATGGAAACAACAACTATTGCGACCTAAGCGATGGAGAAATTTTAAGCGACGGTGAATTCCATATTCCATAATATCCACACAATGTGTTTAAAGTTAGGAATTAAAAGTGCTTTTCAAATTTTATGTTCATAAAATATTGCGATTTTGTAAAGAACATTTCATAAAAATGATGATAAAAATGCATCAAATTTATATGAAAATTTGCTATTGAAATAGCAGTCTTTTCTTGCTCTTTATGAATTGTTTGGAATTTTCCTTTGTTTTTCTGAAGAATTTCCACAAGCAAGGAGGATAAACACATTTTCATGTTGTAATCTAAAGGTGAGGAACCAAATCTGAGAACGTTTTCTATAGGTAGGATAGCCATAATTAACGAATAACGATAATGCATAGAATGGTAGTAGCGTAATACATTCAACCTGAAACGCAAAACCCAAAGTTTTAAACTCACTCAATTTGCAGTCGCATTCAGTTTATTGTAAAATACTACATGCAAGAGTCGCTGAACAGTGATAATACACTTACAATGTTACAGTTAATGCAAAATACATGCAAATTCAATGTAAACCGTCGTTTGTGTCGCTTGACAGGAGAACTGACGTTTTTTCTCTGCATTTTGTGTGCTCCTATTTGCTCCTGTTGACCTATTTCCATAAATGTCCAAAATCATTTGTATCAGATTGTAATGATAAAATATTACGTGAGAGTAACATTTTTTGTCAAATTTTGTATTTGTCAAAGCTTGTAATTTCATGTTGCCATTGAACTATCAACGATCTTTTCAAATACAAATACATTTCAGCTACTGAATTGAAACAATACTATATACACTGAATAGAAAACTACTTACACACATCGCCATCTTGACAACTCATACACTCGCACTTGGCGTTGCGTTCTTGACAGTGAGAATATTTGCATCATAGCAAGCGAATATTTCACATGGTTGTAAAAATCCATTGAGAAAAGTGTTCAACAGTTAGCATAAAAGTGCAAATCGAGAATATTGATATAGAAAACACGTAGAACAAATACAGGTGTCAAAAATGCTTTGGAAAAAAGAGAGTAAGAATATTTTGTGGGACAAAGAAAGCAATCAACAGAATGCGCTGTTCGTTGATCTATTTGCCAACGTAAAGTTTGATATTCCAGCTCCGCGCGGTGTTTTGCCGCAGAAAAGTGATCAAATATCGCAAAGATTGCGTGAGAAAGGCAACGATTACTTTGTACGAAAAGATTATTTTGCTGCAATGAAACTCTACAATCAAGCCCTTTGTTTTGCTGAAAATGGATCAGAGCAGTTGAGCTATGCGTATTCAAATCGATCGAGTTGCTTCTTTCGTTTAAAATTGTACAGCAAATGCCTGGTTGACATTGAACTCGCGCTGCAATCAAATTGTGCACAACAACTGATACCAAAACTGAACGACCGCAAAGCCAAATGCCTCGAGGTATTGGATGAAGAGCTGTCATATTTTGCGCCAAAACTATCCCATGAACCGGACGAACGATTTCCGTGTATGGTAAAAGTGCTTGAAATGCAGCAAAATGTGGAATTTGGACGAGAAATCGTAGCGACAGCCGATATTCCAGCCGGAAAGACGATTATGGTGGAGGATGGATTTGCTGCTGGTCTTTACGGTGAAGCTGGCGTAAATTGTGACATATGCTACTCAAGCTACACCAATTTGATTCCGTGTTACACGTGCACAAGATCTATGTTCTGCTTTGGAAAATGTGACAAGAATGATTTCCACTTCGTTGAATGTGGTTTGCGATGGAAGCCTCAAGGTCCGTTCGATTATCGCTATTCAGTGGTACGTTCAATCGTTTTCGCACTGAAAACCTTCACAAATGTCGACGACCTGATGGAATTTGCTGCAAGTGCCATAATGAGCGATCAGTTCGAATTGCCCGACTCAATGTTGGATGATAAAGCGAAGTACAACGTATTCTTCAGAAACTTTAAAAGTAATTTTCCCGGTTGGTCAGAGGGCCACCAGCATGGAATTCAAAGTGTTTATGAAGGTCTCATCAGTCATGAATTCATTTCACAAAAATTTCCAACCAAACGCAAAGAACGCTTTCTGCAACACTTGATCAGCCACCATATTCAAGCGAGGAGGAGAATGATGACTATCAACTGTACCATGCAAAAGGGCTTCACTCCTTTGATTGGATTATATTTCAATCTCTCTTGCACTCCAAACGCCACGCTACTTTTCTCTGATAGTGGCTCCTATGTGTTGACCATTAGACCAATCAAAAGTGGCGAACAATTGTTTGTCCACTATATGGACGAGGATTTTATGGTGAAAAACATTGGATATAAGGAACGGCGAGCGAAGATTCAAAGGGACTTGAACTATGTTTGTATGTGTGAACGATGTATTGCAGAATCATCGAATCAAAAAGCACCAGAACTATTTGATGACAGCACAAGATATGTGGTACTGGAAAAAATTAGAATGGGCATGAATCAACCAGCTTATCTGCTAATCTACCGTAAATCGCGACCAATTTTCAAACATTTCAAATGAAAGTGCAGCTCGAACGTGGGATTCAATCCTGAAGATGAAGAAGAAAGGGAAAAATAAATAAGAACAACATTGCACACCTGGAACATAACAATAATTGATATTATAACATAGTAGCAACGAGTAGAGATACGAACTCAATTAACGAAATAGAAAATAAAAACATGAAATCACGTGGCCTAGACACATACCAATCAATTCCAAAATATGAAACATAAACGTCATACGCACAAATTGTTCTATCCAAGTGGCTTGAATTTAAACAAAATTTATGTTTTTAATTGAAATAATGTGCTTTAAAAATATACTATATACACATATAAATTTTAATCTCTTCGCACGCATCCCCGACGGTTTTGCCCAGAGGATTGCGTTTTTATGTCAGCTTTTTGTGTATCTATATGATTTTTCGGTTGGGAGGACAATTTTTTTACTTGTATTTTTTGAACAATCAATTACAATTAAATACATTCAAATATAGCTTTGTCATTCTCGAAAGTAAAAAAGAAAACACAGAGAAAATGAGTTTCATTTTGATTTGTTCTGAAGACGATCACCTTGATTCTAACATTTTTTCTAAATAATAGATAAACATACGTACGATCTCAATCGATTGGTATCGCAAACGTTGTGCTGTCGGGTGAGATATCGAGACCAACATTCGCATCACTCTTTGGCTCCATTTCATTGTTGACTTTGACTGGTGTACTTTTGCGTTTGTAGTTTCGTTTCGGTTTCTCTGGTGTTTGCTTCTCTTTTTTGTGAACTGGCTTTTCTGATGCGATCTTGTCAGAGTTCTTTGTGGCCA